CTAAACTGCTAAACATGGGCCATCTTGGAATGTAATTAAGTGCACCATATCATTATAGACAATGTTACCAGGCCGGCCCAAAACCATTCACCAAATGTTTCTTTTTAATTAACATGATAAGATGTGGCCGACTAGGGATGGAACTTGGATTTTACGGCTAAGCGAGTCAAGTTTTTCATTAGCGTAGGCCACAACGTTTAAATCTATCAAACTCTTAATGTGCACAATGGAAAAACTAACTTAGATTTTATTATTGAAAGGTTCTAAGAGGATATTGGAAAGTTAATTTATAATGGAACGTTGTTAAATTTAAAGTTTGTATCAAGTTAAATTATTGAAAGGTTCTATAAGATAAAGTGTCTAAAAGATATATATCCAATGATCTTTATGTAATTTTAAAATGATTTTTAATTTGTTTAATTGCATTAATCTTATTAGAGTAAAGAATCTAATTTTGAATTATAGTTTTGTCTACGATGGGTGATTGTAAGCCATAAAGCGTCTTTCTAATATTATAATCAAGGACGTAGCCAGAACAGATGTTTAGGACAGATGTTCTAAAACAACAGTTTTTGCTTCTTCTCAACATGCTGAGTGGTACCCAACAAATCTATTGAAGAAGAGGAAAAGTGACCAGTTTGTTCCATGAAGGGTCGGACTCTCATGGATTGGAAAGCAGCAAACTGCCCACAGTCCATAAAAAATCCACTTAGTATGCAACAATGTGAATATAGCGTAGTGTTTAAAAAACTAATAAAAACACCTAGCTCACCATCTGTCACTACCTTTCAAAAATAGTACTATATCCACAAAAAAAAGTGGATTAATGTAAAAGGAAAATTAATAAATGTCATCAAACTAGGCCATACGCGTTGTTATAATACGCACCTGAGTGAAGGAGGACATCAGGTTTCTTCTCACTTCAGAGAACATTCTTAATATTTGTGTTGATTATACAGGTGGTCTCAGGTGACCCAACCTACAATAATATAATCAACAAACACATTAGTACGTGGTCAAAGGAAAAGTAAATAATTGAATCATTTGAATGTTTTGTATGTATATGGTAGTTACATAAGGAGCATATCCTCTCACCCGAAGTTGTGTGCATTTGATTCAAACAAACCTTCATAATTTAATTAATATTCAACAAAAAGCTGAATAATAAAAAATATTCTTAAGAAGACTAAAAAAATATTATAAACATACCGAAATGTGAAAGTAGCAATGACAACTCCTTAAGAAGACTAAAAAAATATTATAAACATACTGAAATGTGAAAGTAGCAATGATAACTACGTCTGGGGGCGCTACCAAGCCAGGAATATTATTACTATTTTCGGATCCAAGAGATTACAAAGGGAGAGAGCTTGTATTTATAGAGAGTAAAACCTACCCCGAAGCCAACTAGGAGGCTCGGCCAAAAAAGTAATCCGTACGGCCCAACTGCACGGAATGTGTACGGCCCATCTGTACGGAATTGTACGGAAAACTTGTTCGTCAAAATCGGACCAAAAATGGATAGGGCTTGGTTACACAGTCTCCAACACCTTACAGTCTATTGTAATATCTTCACTCTAAATACATTTTCCTTTCTTTTGGTTCATGAGTTTTTTTACATCAAGAAGAAGTTATATAAAATGCTTTTAGTTCATGCTATAAAATGTCTCTTGTAATAATTCACCCTAAATACATTTTCCTTTCTTTTGGTTCATGGGGGTTTCAACAAAGGGATTAGGTACAAATATACCCATGTACTATGAGTGTGGGAACATATATACCCCTGTTCTATTTTCCGGAACAAATATACCCTTGAACTTTTAAAAAAGTGCAAAAATATCCTTCATGTTCTTATAAAGGGGCAACTTAATCCCTATTGACTATAAATTAATAAAATAAATTTCAAAAAACACCAAATATAAATTATAAATTCGAATTTAATAAACAAAAAATTTTAAAAATATAATAGTGTCCAATTCTCCCTTATATAGTTTTTATATCACAATTTAATACTGTTTAAGTATGAAATATTATTCCAAAATTTTACTATATGTTTAAGATTCTTTCAAAAAGGTGCTAACATATGTTTTTCAACGTAAAGATTTTTTTTTGCATTCTTTACACTATAAAATTACATATTTTGAAATAATATTTTATACTAAATATATTAAATTGTAATATAAAAACAATAAAGGGAGAATTGGACACAATTATATTTATAATAAAAAATTATTTTTTAATTTCGATTTTTAATTTATTTTTGGTCAATAAATTAAAAAGTCAATAAGAATTCATTTGCTCCTTTATAATAACTTGAGGGATATTTTTGCACTTTTTAAAAAGTTAAGGGGTATATTTGTTCCAAAAAATAGAACAAGGGTATATTTGTTCCTCCACCTATAATACAAGGGTATATATGTACGTTTTCCCTTTAGGACACATACTCGTTAAAAAGACTCTACTTTGTCAAACTTAATGACAACTCCAGCGGCATCACTTTAAGCTACGCTCTAAATGTCTACTGTTGTCATATTAAGTTTTCTTATTAAGTGGTTACACCACATTTTATTTTAGTAGTTGTGCTAGTAATTATAGAATCTCATTACAAAGATATCCAACGTATCATTTACAGTAATTATATCACGAATTCTAATCACTTCTTTGTTAATTGTTGTCATATACAAGGCCGGCTCAATAAATTAGGAGACCCGGTGCAAGTCACAAAAATAGGCCTTATATTAAATCAATACAATACAAAAAATCAACCTTAAAAAATCCCAAAAAAACTACAAACAAATGTGAGATTGAGAAATGATCACTTTTTCGAACTTGACAAATAAAATTAGTAAAAAAATCTAAAATCGGAAATGAACGAATGAAAATAGGATAAGAGAAAGTGAATTTTTTTACCTTTGGTTGGATAACCTGAATAGTTAGATCATTCGCTCAAATAAAGTAATCAACTATTTTCAAAAATAATTACCCTATATATACACTATATAGATTTTACAAAAAAAAATGGGTCTTATATATTTTGAGGCCCTGTTCAGAGGCACGCTTTGCACGCCCTCATCTACGGTCCTGGTCATATAATCTCATGTTAGGCATGGGATACAAAAAAAATCTAACTAAACTTATGTATTTTCATCGAACCACAAGTTTTTGTTAAAAATAAAAACAATGACATCATATAATTCTTATTATTAGAGGATAAGGAGCAAATCTCACCGATAAGCTTATGAAATAAATAAAAATCCATTAGAGACAGAGAACTAAATCAAGTGGAAAAGGAAAAAATTAATCGAACAAGAGAACAAGGAAAAGAAAAGAACAAAAAAGAATTTGTATATTTGAAGCAAATCCACTATATTCATTTGATTTCGAAAATAGTTTATACGAAACCATATAGATTGGCGAAAAACTGATAAAAAATTATGAGGATAATGAATATTAAACATTAAAGTCACCTAGGGCAACGAAATTTAGCAATCGAGCGGCAAAGTTTTGGTTGAATCATCTGCAAAGTTTACGTGCGGCAACCTAATTTGAGCAAGAGGGCTGAGTTGATAAACTTGGGGAAAATCCAGCAATCATATGATAGTTTTGATTCAACCCTCTGCATAATTCACTTGCGACAACATAATTTGAGCGAGAGGATGGATTCGATAAACTTAGGGAAGACGGACCATTTGATAGTTTTGATTGAATGTGTCAATGTGAGCGGCAACCCTAAAATTGCCTAAGTAGCGTGTAATGTAACCTACAAAATTAAAAGCACTCAAAATTCAAACTAACCTTGTGCTTCAAAAATTTTGGGCAATATTAAATTTTACTTGTATTTTCAATTTTTTATCCTCATTTATTTTAAAAAACATATAAATAAAACAAATCACTTACAAAAAACAACAATTTACATACTAATATCTATCACTTTTATATGTGGTCGTTAAAAATAAACTATGTAATGACGAATTGTTTATTAATCGTTATATGTGGTCACTTTTATTAGTTGTTTAACGATGATTTGTTAGAGTCATCATTATACCGTGGTGTTAAATCTTTTTCTTGTAGTGATAAATGTCAAATGTTGTGTTTGTTTTTTGCTATTAGCTTATAATACTTTGAGTTATTTCATCACCAGCCCATATACTCCTCACATATATAAACTTTGGTTATTTCTCCTATTAGCTAGATTGACCTCAAAGACAAGCAACATCGGTTGTCAATAGAAACAAAAATCAATATATAAATTTTGGGTTATTTCTCCTATTAGATTAACCTTTAAGGATAGTACCTCAACTCTTAATATATTATCAGAGCAAATTAAGCTCCAACGAAGAATTAGATCCTGATAAGCCTCAACAACGATCACACGGATTACAAGACTGGTATGATCTAATGACTCACCATCTTGTGGAGGCATATTAAGTTGCCCCACACCAGTTATAAATAGAAATACAAACCAACAAATAAATCCTTCCGGTAAGGTATACCTTACCGGAGCCGCCGTGCGGCCTCCACGTTTTGAGAGCCTTCCCGGTGGAATTTTTCGATGAAATTTTTTGAGCATGTTCGTCATCAAGTCTAGTACATCCATACCAAATTTCAGAAAACATTTCAATCGGGAATCGGGAAGACAGCCAAACGATTTTTGGAAGATAACTGCGTTATATATATATATATATATATATATATATATATATATATATACACATATATTTAAACTCCACTTTTTTTGCTACTATTTTTTTTACTCCAAGGGGGTCTGGGGGGCCTAGAGTAATCAGGGCTGAAACCCATTCTATTGAGTTTCGAACTCTTATGTGCCTAGCAAGTTTCGAACTTGAGACCTCCCACTAGGCACGGTAACCTCACAACCAGCTGAGCTGGAATGCTTGGTTATATATACACACACACACACACACACATATATATATACAATGAACCCCCATTCACCGATTCAGACTTCACATTTGGAATAAGATTGAAGGTAGGTGGAGGTAGAGGTAGAGAGAGAGAGAGAGAGAGAGAGAGAGAGAGAGAGAGAGAGAGAGAGAGAGAGAGAGAGAGAGAGAGAGAGAGAGAGAGAGAGAGAGAGAGAGAGAGAGAGAGAGAGAGGGGGGGAGAAGGGTGGGCCGTGGGAATCGGCCATTTCTTGCCCCACGGCTCCTTCTTCGGCGACTGCCCTCTCTGCTGCCCCAAATTAATTTCATATTGTTTCACTCATCATGAATTTGGCTCACTATTCTTTTTGGAATATGGAAATGCTTTTGCCAAGTTTCAAATTGTTTCGCTCATCATGAATTTGGCTCACCATTCTTTTTGGAATATGGAAATGCTTCTGCCAAGTTTCAAAATGTTTCGCTCATCTGATATGTTTCGCTCAAGGCTGACAATTCTTTTTGGAGTATGGAAACTTCTGCCAAATTTCAGATTGTTTCGCTATATGGAGAATATAGAAACGTTTATGTTGATGCTTACCATTCTTTTTGGAATATGGAATATCAAGGCTCGCCATTTTTTTCCAATGCAGCTGCAGCAGGCCGGAAATGGCACCACAATCACACAAGGGGAAGACTTCTCTCCTCAACTCCCAAAAGGAGTTGAGGAGAGTCAAAAAGTTCAAAAATGATGGATATAAGGGCTACTATAGTGCAAAGTATGAAGAAGGGCACGATTTAGCATCGCGGAAGTAGCAGCAGCAGGCGTCTCAAGATGATGATACATCTGTGCAGCAGTTCAAAATGGAATTGAACACCACCAAGCAACCATAATATGAGGTTAGAAAAACTGCGCTGAAACCAGCACGACAACCATACTCGGAGAGCTCCAAGAAACTGCCTTACAAAGTTATTCTCAAGCATAGACAGCCCCTGGCTGCCCCATTAGTAGGTTATTCTTCCTCTGATTAGGAATAATCCAATATAACTTTGTAGATTTGTTCTTTAAACCACTCAATGAAGGATAGCTTCTTTTGTTGAAATATGACTTTTATGGGACGAAAAAATCTAGAAGGGATGTATTTTTGTAAATATATATATATATACATATATATATATATATATATATATATATATATATATATATATATATATATATATATATATATATATATATATATATATAATGAACCCCCAAATCTTAATATACACATATGTGTATATGTGTATATATATGTGTATATATTACACACACACACATAGACAGATGATAGGGCAAGAAGTCATGGTGGTTAAGATGATAACAAGTAACTCCATTGAGGAGAGGGTGCTGAAATTGCAGTTTTTTTTATAGGGATAGAAAAGGGAAAAACTCAAATTTGACCACAACTGACCTCCTTATCTTGATGCCTTTGGAAGATACCTCCTCCATTTAGCGTTCAATTAACATTCAAGAAAACATTTATCAACTAAAAAATATATTGACAGAAGAAACAATATTATATTTACAGGAGTTCTTATCTCAGTCAAAACAATTTTTTTCATTTTATCAGCAAAGAAAGCATCCATAAAGTTCTTGAAAACAATATACAGCAAAAACAGCAACTGATGATGTCCAAGTGCACCTAAAAACAACTATTGATAAAGTGCTGAATAAAGTCGAGACTCATTTATCCTCTGAAAAGGGAAGCTTCATCTGTTTGATGACGTCAAATTCTTTCTTAGCAGCAAGAGCCGCCGCTCCAAAGCTCTTTAGCTTCTCAGATCAATTACGCCAACCTGTTCCTCCTTATGCATCTTCCAATAAAGGAACAAGCAAATCCCGCCGCACGCCAGAGAGATGCCGGCGGCGGCAGTGACAGCAGCCAGGGGATTTGGAGGATCATTCTCTTTCTCTTTATCCTTGTCCTTTGAAGGAGCAACAAAGAAAGTTCTTCGTTAGTTATTTTAAAAAAGTTAGTTACTGTGTTTGTTTTTTGCTATAAAAACAAAAATGATTAACAAATGGCTCATTGATGCCCCCCACCTCCCCCCCCCCCCCCCCTCCAAACAAAAAAACTTTTTCAATACGTAGGCCTCCATCAGCATCCCATATACTCACAAGTATAAAACTTTGAGTTATTTCTCCTATTTGATTGACCTCAAAGGCAATCCAACATCGATTGTGAATAGAAATACAAACCAATATATAAAATATTGGATTATTTATTTTATGAGGTTGACCTTTAAGGATAGTACCTCATATCTTAATATCTTATCAGAGCAAATTAAGCTCCAACAAAGAATTAGATCCGGGTAAGCCTCAACAACGATCACACGGATTACAAGATTGGTATGCAGTATGCTCTAATGTCTCACCATCTTATGACGACATATTAAGTTGTCCCACACCAGTTATAGATTGAAATATAAATCAACAAATAAATCATTGATCTAGTCCTCTATTAGGTTGACCTTTTTAGAATAATCCCCCAAATCTTAATATATACTACCTCCGCCCCAGAAACAAGTTCCAGGATTGAGTTTCACACATTTTAAGGAAATAAAGTTACTGAGGGGTAAAGTTTACTGTTTTGACACTGTTTGGCACTGTTTTGCACTATTTGCCAAATAAGGAAATGAGAAGTTTATTTTGGGACATTCAAATAAGGAAAATGGGAACTTGTTTCCGGGACGGAGGGAGTATATTTAAACCAAAATGTGTAATGAGTGATATTTTAGATGTCTATTATAACACTTTGACCCCGTGGGGCCTAATGTAGTTACATGTTGTATCAAAGCAACCGTGCAACAATGTGATGATTGTTGGGTATCAGGCAGACACTTAACAAGGGAGGATTCTTGTGTTCAATTGAGGTTAATTTATTGGTGCAACGAGGACGTTACGTTCATAAGTGAGGATGGTTGTAATATTTGGATTCATTTAAAAGAATTAATAGTATTACTCATATCAACACGGTACATCTCCTTTTAAAGGAAACTCATCACCTAAGAACTGTAAGTTAAGCGTGCTTGCACGAGAGTAGTTTTGGGGTGAGTGACCCCCTGAGAAGTTGCCCAGGGCTCGCATGAATGAGAATAAAGTGCACGGTAAATGACTCATGTTGGTTTGTGCCCGGTTTGTGAAGACAGTACTAGATCTAGAGAGTGTGTAGAAAGAACTGTGTTGGATGCTGCAGGGTCAGGGTATTAAGCTACCTAAAAGCATAGAGAGCGAAAGAAAAGGCATCACATAAGCTTAGATGAAAATATAAAGAGCCCTATGCATTTATGGAACTAAGGTTAATGGAGTCGTTCTTATATGTCTTCATGACAATTGATGCATTAATTTAGGTGTGAAAATTTTATAGACTGATTATAGTAGATGATGGAACATTTGTGATGGAAAGATATGGGGGCACATTAACTACATCAACATAAGATGCATGTGGTAAGATACCCACTTGCATTTTCGGTTGTTGACACTGAGAATGATGAATCACGAAAATTGCTTTTCAAACACTTTAGAGAAGTTTTTGGTTATAGGAATGAAATTGTTGAGGTTTAATTTATTCCTTCAACCTGTAGGCCCAACATGTAACATATGGGTTTCGAGCGGTGAGTGTATGTGAATACGGGGAAACAACAAGCAAGATAGGCTTAGAAATGTAAGCAATAGTGGGCCGAGTGTTATTATATGATAATAAGGTCTCGTTACACTGCACCAATGCTACTGGCCGATGGCCGTTCGTCTGCTTCACAAGTCGGAGAGCTGCGAATGATGCTATAAGCTATAAGAATGCCATAATGCTAAGGCGTAAAAGTTGCCAACCCTTTACAATGAAATAAATGCTACTATTATACTGCCAAGGGGTAGGTGAATATGTTGTCGTGGAGAGCTGTGGATGGCTTAAGCTTCAACCATCAAATCTCTAGCAATAAATGCGATCCCCACCAGAATCTTGGTTTCCTGCCCAATCTATGGGGACGAGCGTCCCCGTGAGTCTTGGATCTGTTCTTGGTGATGCCACAAAGGGCGGGACACCGTGCGTCTTCTGGCTGTTGGCGTTGGAGTAAGCTGGCTAGCCTTGGGTTAGGACTCTTTGAGCTGAGGCCTCTAGATGGAGACGTATGTCTCAGCTACATTGGGCCATGATGGATAACTGTTGTTGGTCCATGGAGACGATCGTCTGCCCTCAATACCCCTGTTGGGCTTAGACGTTCATCCATGGAGGGGTTAAATGGGCCGATCCTCTAATTGGGCCATTAACTCAATAGAAATGAAGGTTGTTTCTCATCGACATAATTATCATTGTTTTAATTCTATTTAAGAAATCTTCTCTTTTAAAATTGGTATAAATGGAACTTGCCGCAAATTTGAAGCGTTGGAGAGGGATTGAGATCCTCTGCTTTATGGCAGAGTACCTTACCAGGGCGGTTATGGTGCAGTAAGGCCAGGCACTTGCATTGGGCCTCACATGCCCGGGGGGCCTAGAAAAACTAAAGTGATTAGTATTTACTATTTAGTAATAATGTGAGTACATGGAATCATAGTTTCAAAAAGCGGACCACAGCACAAATAGCGGCCGCAATATTGCGGTAACGGCATTAGACCGCTATAGCGGTGCGAAATCGAATCACGAAGAACGACCGCAACAAAACCGCGACGGAACCGCAACAACACCGCAACAGGCCGCATCAGGCCGCTTTTCGTCCGCATCCCGCCGCAACCAGCCGCTTCTCGTCCGCATCCCGCCGCAACCAGCCGCTTCTCGTCCGCATCCCGCCGCTTCTGCCTACGTCTGGCCAGATTGGCACCATATCAAAGGTGTCATTACTCGTAACCACCTGAATTTCAAGACTTCTGGTAGAAGAAGACTCCTGGAAGAAGAAAATAGAAGATGCTCGAAGGAGTCCGATCATGCCTCTAGCCCTTTGCTTAGAAGATAGAGTATTTAAGATATTGGGCCACTTATTTTTGGGCTTAGCAATATTCATTTTAAATTAAAATAGACACTAAATTAAGTAGTAAAGTGTATGGATGTCATATTTGAACGAATCCAGACAAGAATACAAGATAGAAATCTAATATTGATGGTGGGGCCTGATTTTAATATAGTAGGTACATACTAGTTTTAAAAAATAAAACTATTTTGCTTAAAAAATATAATTTTGTGTGTAATGATTATTTGATTTATAGTTTTTTTTCTAATCATTATTTACTTTTAATTGTCATATTCTAATAGGTCGCATTGTTTACAAATAAGTACTTCTACAAGTATTCATAATTGTCCTATTGATTTTATCAATCATTAATTCAAAAAATGTTAAATGTAATTAATATGTAGTCGAAGATTAGTTAAAATGGGGGGGAAACGTTATATTTTAATTATGTGCGAAATTGAAAAAATTCACGCCGCAGCGGCCGCAATACACATCGTAGCGACCGCATTAGCCGCAACCGCAGTGACCGCGACCGCATTAGCCGCAACCGCAGTGACCGCAACCGCGACCCCAACCGCTATTTAAAACCATGATTGGAATACAAAAGGCCCCAACGGTCCAGGCTGTTCAGCAAGGTCTGAAATTGAATGGAAAAAGTTAGAAATAGGCAATTGAGGCAAATCAACAATCGGTCAGCAATAGGGCATTTTCTAATTTCTCATCCGACTACCGAAGCACCTTTTTTTGGATGAAATGTAAATATATATTAACACCCAAGAAAATATACATCAGCGGGTTCTAGATCTCCTAACCCCCCCCCCCCCCCACCTCTACCTAGTGTAGGGGTTAGGAGAGGTTTTTATTCGATCTAAACAAAAAAAAGGGCCTAAGTATAGAATACTAAATGCCCCAAACCGTACAGGAAAAAACCAATCAGTGCTGCAAGGTGCACGCACACAGAACATCAAGAACATACAAAGACAGAAGAGACGGCCAATAGGAGGTTATAGTGTACACTCCCCTTGGCCCATCCAAAAAATCTAGGTGTTGCAAGGTGCACACACACAGTCCCAAACGATGATGTCGCGGCTTTGAAGGGGCAGCCACTTTCTCCTATCAAAAGTTGATCAACTCGTGTGGGTATAAGCTATAAAGGATCTTATACACCACATGTTTGACCTTAGAAATCACATCAGCTTCCGTCTTCAAACCTCCATCAAAACGTAGCTCATTCCTTACATGCCATATATAGTAGACCGTGGCACAAAAAGCTAGCCGGGCTGCCTTTGCCTTCAGCGTCGATCCTTTATGAGTCTTCGTGATCCACTTAACGGCACTTAGCAAGGTGGTCATTTCATGCCTGAGTCCCATCCAGTTCCTTATTATGTGCTGCCACACCCTACAAGTAAAGGGGCAAAGGAAAAAGAGGTGTGATATTGTCTCCAAACCACCCTTGCAAAGGTCACACCTATTCACAATGTGTAGATAACCGAGACTATCCTGGGTAGGAAGCCGGTTTCTTAAAGCCAACCACATGTTAAAAGATAGTTTGGGGGGGGATGTATGATTTCCATATGAAGCTCATAGGAGTCCTGACATTACCCCTAACTCTTAACAAATCATAGATTTTAGCGGAGGTTAATTTTCCATTTATGGAACGGGCATTAAGGCCAAGAATCGTATCATTCAAATTATTAAAACAGCCCCGAATTTTATCTCGAATGAGACTCAATCGCTTCATTAGCTGAGAGTCCCGGGTGTGTGGGACATAGTCCCACACGTTTCTACCCTTGAGGTAGACACCGTTCACCCAACGTACCCAGAGCGTGTCATTTTTTAGATGTACATCCCAAAGGGTGCGAGCGAGGAGGGCATGATT